AATGAGGACCCGGATTGTGGGGGCAATAAACTGACTTTGTATAAAAAAAGAACACCGCTTAGGGGGGGGCCCGAAAGCCCTACTAAGCAGGTATATACAAAAGTATGAAGGCTATTGCTTAACACATTGTAAGCCGCCCTGAGTCTCCGGAGAAGGGCGGCATATAAATCGAACCAATAAATAAATAAAATGAATGAATGAATGAATGAATGAATGAATGAATGAATGAATGAATGAATAAATAAATAAATAAATAAATAAATAAATAAATAAACTCTGCCCCCAGCTCTACCTGTTTTCTCCTACATGCCTTCAGCAAAAAGATGTGAAATTCGGCCCATTTTAGCTGGTAAGCCAAGCATGGCCAGATCAGGTTAGTACCTGAATAGGAAACGGGGGCTAGTCAATTGTCTTACTAAGTCAGCTTGTAGAGGTAGGTCAAAGGTCATGGTGCCAGGCTGAGAGCAGGACACTGCCTTAGCTCATGCGCTGTGGATCTTGCCTGCTTGTATGATCTCGTTTTGGCTCTGATCGGCATTATCTCGCCTTGCCTTCAGAGGATGGCATCTTGAGAGGGGGGGCAGTTAGGATGCTGTTGCTGTCCTGCCTTTTTGTCCGCCTGTAAAAACTGTATAAAAAATAAAGCTCTCTGCAAGAGCGGGAGAGACATCTTCGCACAGAGCAAAAGCCTGGATCTCTGATTTACAACATCGCTTAACAACTGCATGATTCACTTAACAATTGCAGTGTTTCGTTTAACAACTATGGCAAAAAGAAAAGGTAGCAAAATAGGAGAAATCTCACTTAGCAACAGCCTTGCTAAGCAATACAGGTAGCCTTCGTCTTATGACCACAACTGAGCCCAACGTTTCTGTTGCTAAGCGACAGTGGTTAAGTGACTTTTGCCCCCATTTTACGACCTTTCCTGCTCCAGTTGTTAAGTGAATCACCGCAGGTGTTAGTAACACGGTTGTTAAATGAATCTGGCTTCCCCAGGAACTTCGCTCATCAGAAGGTCGCAAAAGGGGATGACGTGACCCCGAGACACTGCAACCATCATAAATATGAACCACTTGCCAAGCGTTTGAATTCTGATCACGCGACCGCCAGGGTGCTACAACGGTCGGAAGTGTGAAAAGCGGTCATAAGTCTTTTTTCAGTGCGGTTATAAGTTAGAATGATCACTGAACCAACTATTGTTAAGTCGAGCAATACCTGTATAAATTTTGGGCTTCGTTATGGTCGCAAGTCAAGGACTACCTGTACAGCAAAGGGCCGTAATTAATGTTTGTTGTTACTCTTTGAAATACGCCTCCTTGCAATGTTGGTCAAGTTTCGTGACTGTGACCCAGCGGCCACAGAAACTTGCTTCCCTGGCAGGCTGCAGAGCTAAAAGCTCCACCTTTTGAGGTTCGGATCAGAACTGTGCAACATAAATTTTAAAAAATAAAGATTCCCTTTCCCACCATTTATTTGTGGGGGGGGGGAATCTTTATTTGCACGGTTGCAAATAACCTATGCACGGGTTTGCAAAGCATCAAATATTTTCTGCAAACAGCAACAGAGGAAAGGTGACCATTTCCTGGGGCTGTTTTGACTTTCCGTTTTTTTTTTCTCTCTCAATGGACGTGCAAAGATGCAGCATCTGCTCTCCGGGGGTGGGCTGGGGGTGGAGGGGAGGTAGGGACAGGGAAGGGAGTATTTTGACGTTCCAAAAATAGCCCACTACAAATAGGGGGGTCAGGAAGCAGAAGAGTGCAGCTTTATTCCGACGTTCGTTCTGCTTAAAGACGGCGGGCGTAGCGGAAGCCTGGTCTATTAAGGCAGGGGTACCCAAGCTCCGGTTTATGGACCAGCAACCGTCCATGGCAGGGGTCTCCAACCTTTCGGACTTCGGGGACCACTAAATTCATAATTTTAAATCCCGCGGACCACTAGTACGATCTGCCTAATGACCAGCTGGGTGGGCGTGGCTAGGTGGTCATGTGACTGGGTGGGCGGGGTCAACTCAATGTCACTCACGTCGAGGGGTGCCTCGGCGGCCTCTACTTGTTGCTCCCCTGCCACCCACTCCTCTCTTGCTTGCCCGGATCCTTAGGGTCCCAACAGGAAACAGTTGCTGGAGCTAAGCAGCCACCAGGAGAAAGAGTTGGCAAAACAGCTCAATTCAGATTGGATCTGTCCGAGGAGGAGGCTCAGCAGAAGCACCTCACTGAGGACTAGGAGCATAGGCTTTCCAAGCAGAGGAAAGACCTGCGGGAGCGCAAGGCCAGGTACCGGCACCTGGAGGCTCAGTGGGCTGAGATGGTCAGCCAGTTCCAGGCCGTGATGCTGTCCCACTGGGACGAGGCCCTCCGGCTCTTCGCCACCAGTGGCTCTTCCCTCCAGCCTTCGCCCAAAGCCCCCCACCAGGAGGCCGAAGCAGACCCCAAGTCAGAATTTCTGCCCCCCTCCGACCCACAGAAAAAGACCCCAAAAGGGGGAAGACTCTCTGCAGCGACACAAGCGTTCATTGCACGTATCCATCCCAGGGGATGTAGTTTGAGGACCCGATTTAGTGCAATATACAAAAATGCAAATAATTTTTCTGCGGACCACCAAAATTTTCTCGTGGACCACCAGTTGGTGACCTCTGGTCCGTGGCATGTCAGAAACCGGCCAGGGCAAACAAGCAAAGCCCCATCTGTGGGATGCACACCCCCTCCAGTCGGCAGAAAAACCGTTCTCTCCACAGAACCGGTCCCTGGTGCCCCAAAGGTTGGGGGCCGCTGTATTAAGGGGCCAAAAAGGAAAGAGCTGCTTGGAACGGTTCTTACTGGGCCATGAAGTCACGTTTGCAGTGGGGAACCGGGCTGCCTTATCGGTCCTTTTGCACTGAAGCCATCTGCTGCAAAAGACAGAATTGGCAAGGCCTCTTCCGTGACTGCGTCCGTTCCTTCTCCCCGACTTGAAATAATTAAATCAGATCTGTATGGGAAAAGAAGAAATGGTTCCTTCCTGCCACCTTTTTGCAGTTTAAACGTTTGCTGCTCCCTAGAAGTTTGCAGAAGAACCCAGAGCTAATTGGCCGATGCGTCTGGAGTCTCCTGCAAGAAATAAACAGGCGCACGCGTGTCACAGATGCAAACGTAAACTTTGAATTTATGCCACATTGTAAAAAGAGGATTTGGTCTTGTTCTGCCCCCCTTCCCCACACAGGCAAACGTAATACCAAGCACGCCTGCCAATATTTTACTAGGTAAACAGATTAGAATTCCTGGCAGACCAAGGTTTTGGCAGCAAACTGCCGAATGCCTGCCAAGACCGTTTTCACTCCCATAAAGCAGAAGAGGATTTATCTTCAGTCCGTTCCAGGAGCAACAAATTATCCACCAGACAAGAGTTTAGACAATGTTCAGTCCAAAATATATCCAAGCCGAACTTCAGAGATCACGATGTGACTTTCAGGGTTTAACTTTGTCCATCACAAAGCCTGAAGAGCAATCCCACCCACTTTTATTCCTGGTGGGGCGTGGCTCCATGACTCAGCTCAATCTCTGGCCCTCCCACGCCTCTTCCGTTGCTGCGCACGATTCTCCCTCCAACGCTGCCTGGGATCAAGCCAGGATTCATCATCCTCGCTCCCTATCAATTGGTTCTCCAATATGCCTTCCTCCTGGCACATCCCAGGCTGTTCCTCCTGGCCTTCGGATGGAACCTGAGGCATTGCCAGAGAGGAGGGTCCTGGAGAGGGAGGCCTTGTCAGTTCCTCCCCATCACCTTCTGAGTCCTCCTCCACTGTTAGGACAGGCTCGGGAGTCGGGATCACAACAGGTCTAGGGGTAAAGGTCCCAGGCCGGAAAGCTGGAGATGATGAGTTTTAGCCCTGCCAAAGCCAGCTGGGTGATTTTAGGCCAATCACCTGGAGACGGTGAGTTCTAGTCCCACCTTAGACATGAAAGCCAACTGGGTGACTTTGGCCCAATCACCAGGAGACGGTGAGTTCTAGTCCCGCCTTAGGAAAGCCAGCTGGGTGACTTTCAGCCAATCACCAAGAGACAATGAGTTCTAGTCCCGCCTCACTCATGAAAGCCGGCTGGGTGATATTGGGCCAATCACCAGGAGACTGGGAGTTCTAGTCCTGCTTTAGGCATGAAAGCAGGACTGGGTGACTTTGGGCCAGTCCCTTTCTCAGCCTATCCCAGCTCACAAGGTTGTTATTGTGGGGAAAATAGGAAGAGGAAGCAGTATGTAGGACAGTTCACCGCCTTGAGTTATTTGTAAAAATAATAAAGGCAGGATACAAGTAAGTAAATAATCTGTAATCTACACAGCTGAATGTTTTTTTTTCTGCATGGGGTGCCAGGTTGAACAAGATGGCACTTGGGGTCCATCCCAATCTCACAGCTGTATGATTCTACATAAATGGAGAACAGCTTATAAACTGAAGAAGAAGTCATGACATCCACCTACAGGTAGTTCTTAACTTATGACCAGTTGCTTAGTGAATGTTAGCAGTTACGATGGACACCCAAAAAGATACCTACAACCCAGATCCAAAGTTCTGACACCTCTCATCCTGCAAAAGGGACGGAATTTTTGGAGCTTGGCCACCAGCCCACATTTATGGCTGTTTGCAGCACCCCAGGCATGTGACTAGCTTACAATTTTCTTTTTTTGCCAGAAACTGGCATTTACATGGCTTTGCTTAGCCATGTAAATGTTAAAAAAAATGTTGTAAAATCAGGTTTTAAAGACCAGCACGATTTATGGCCGTAATTCTGGGCTCAATTACAGTCGTAAATCAAGGACTATCTTATCGTGGAAAACTGTAACCGCTGTCTGAGTACATGCACAACTCTAGCAGAGATGCAATTAATGTGGAACACGGCTTTATTTTAATTGCTTCGATTAGCAATAAATAACCCTCTGCTGCCCACTGGAAGGACAAATTATTTGCGACGTCCGAGCTGCCACGGATCGAAAGTAAAAGGCAAGCCAAGACGAAGTCTACAAAAAAGTGAAATATACTTTCAATTTTATTTGCAGTGTACATTTAGACTCTGGATGGATACAGCATCTGTGAAAAGAAAAGAAAAATGCTTACAAGACGTAGAAAGAAGCAGAAACTTCCTCTAACCATTTTTCTGCCTTTCCTACAAACTCCCCTGATTTCACCAACCTAACTCCTTTCCCTCTGCAGCCCCGGGAAAGGAGTTTTAGTCAAACAGAGGATGCAGAAAAATTAACTTGCTGCTCCTTTGCACTGATTTTTTTAAAAAATAAAATAAAAACCAGATTCACAATCTTTGCTGTGGTTTTTAACAACCCTCAGATGAGATTTCAAAGCCTCCCACCACCCACCCAGCCTGAAGACGCTCTTCATCCTCACCACTCGGATCCGGTGTCCAATGGCTTTGGCGGGCAAGTTGGAGCGGAATTTGGCTCGCACCATGCCGCTGTTTCCGTGGGCACGGGTCACCTTCCCCCAGATGACTCTGGTTCTATTGGGTTTCCCCCCGGGAGTCACCGTGTTGCTGGCAAAACGAAAAAGAGACGTTGTGTTAAATCCCTGGTGATTCCTGGTTCGGCAAATATATAGGTGATCTTGCCGCTGTCTATCCCAGAGGTTTTCAAACTTGGCAGCTTGAAGACTTGTGGACTTCAACTCCCAGAATTCTCCAGCCAGCATAACTATGCTGGCTGGAGAATTCTGGGAGTTGAAGTCCACAAGTCTTCAAGCTGCCAAGTTTGAAAACTTCTAGTCTATCCACTACAGAATGAAGGCCTCTTCTGCAGGCTTCCAACCAATAAGGTCCCGAGCTTTCTTTTGCCAATTGGTCCCACATTACGTGCTGATGTTATCAATCCATCTTGTTTTAGGTCCCGGAATACAGAAATTCCCCCTCTGCCTCAACTCTGCTTTGCACCAAGAACTGCATCAATACAAGACCCAAAGGTGGCTTTTTCAAGAGAATCAGAACAGAGCTGGGAGGGACCTTGGAGGTCTTCTAGTCCAGCCCCCTGTTCAAGCAGGAGATCTTATACCATTTCAGACAAATGGCTGTCCAATCTCTTCTTCAAAACCTCCAGTGATGAAGCACCCACAACTTCTGGTGGCAAGAAGTTCCAATGATTAATTGTCCTCACTGTTAGGAAGTTTCTCCTTAATTCTAGGTTGCTTCTCTCCTTGATGAGTTTCCATCCGTTGTTTCTCATCTTTGGCCTCAGGTGCTTTGGAGAATAGCTTGACCTCCCTCTTCTTTGTAGCAGCCTCTCAAATATTGGAAGACTGCTATCATCGCCTCCCTAGTTCTTTCTTTTCCCTAGACTGGCCAAACCCAAATCCTCCAACTGATCCGAAGAAGCTTCTTGGATGAGAAGCGAAATGTCTTCAAAGAAAAAAAACCAGAAAGTCCAGTTGTCTCTTGAAAAAAGCACCACTGGGACAACCATGACCAGGATGACTGAGAATCTCCAGAGACATCAATAGAAGAAAAAAAACCGCTAAGGATCAAAGCAGTCACTTCAGAACCGGAGTTTCCTATCCGATTGCAGCAGGCTCACTCCCACCATCGATGAAGTCCAGCATGTCTTGGGAACATCGCTCTGGTGTTTCCCCAAGAGTCTTAATACAGGAGGCCCTTGACATATGACGACTGAACCCAACACTTAGGTGGCTAAGGAAGACAGTTAAATGACCAAGTGCCTGAATTTTGACGTGAGCGGGGGAATGCTGCAACTATAAAAAACAGTCCAATTTTTCAGTGCCGTTGTAACATTGAAGGGTCACTAAACCAACTGTTGTAAGTCGAGGACTACCTGTAGTTGAAAATGTGAGCTGGATACAGGGTGTCTGAAATTTGGACATATGATGAGGGAGGCAGTCATCCAACACAGGTTTTAAATACGCCTGGGGGAATCCATCATAACTTGGAACGGTTGCTAAACCGAGGATTAGCACTTGAGCCAACTCTTTTGACTGTTTTGTGACACCACACAACACAAAGATGTAACACATCGACCCACAAGACCACATCTACTACCCCTGTGTGTAATGACAACAGAACCACACACTGAACTGCTGAAGCCTCTTTAGAGCAGGGGTATCCAACCTTGGCAACTTTTAAGCCTGGCCGACTTCAACTCCCAGAATTCCCCAGCCAGCAAAGCTTACTCTCTTGTAATCCCTTCCTCTGCAATCTCTCCGCTTTAAGAGATGAAGAGAAAAAGAAACAGATACGGCTGACTGGGGAATTCTGGGAGTTGAAGTCTGCCAGGCTGAAAGTTGCCAGGTTGGAGACCCCTTCTTTAGAGCACCAAATCCACGCTTTTCAGCAGACGGCGGCACTTCATCGACATCGCGTACACAGACCCACAAGATGGGAGCACGAAACAAGCAAGCCCTGTGATCAGCAACTCACTTTTTGGCCTTGTAGACGTAGGCGCATTTTTTCCCCAAGTAGAATTCGGTCTCGTTGCGGGAATAGACGCCTTCCACTTTCAGCAGGGCAGTGTGCTCTCTCTGGTTTCGGAGGCCTCGTTTGTAGCCAGCAAAAGTAGCTTTGCACCACAACCTAGGGAAACAAAGAACCCCACAATGACACTCTGGGTACAACTGGGCCCTGCCAAACAAGGCGATGCCGAGGAGGAGATCTCCAATGGCTGCTGGGTTCACATCCTGCACCAAGCAGTAGCAGATCCCCAATTTTGCCTTAATATGTTAACGCAGCTTGTTCGGCATCCTTTTGTGTGTTTTTTTTGAGGGGTCCTTGGTGCTCTCTGAGCTTGCTTCTTTTCTCGCAGAGGTTTTCACTACCCAAACTAGGTAACATCATCAGTGTGAGCAATAGCTTAAAAACATCAGTTGTAGCAGTAATGATGTTACCTAGTTTGGGTAGTGAAAACATCTACAAGAAAACAAGCAAGCTGAGAGGGGATCCCTCATTTCAACCCTGAGCTACAAACATTCTCCTTTTTTGATTTTTTTTAATGGCTTAGCATTATGTGTGAACCCCATTCCATATGATACACAGAGGTTGTGTTTTAAATAAGAAAAAAAGAGCACAGATAATTGTCCAGTGGAGTGGAAAAGCTAAATTCCCGTTAATGAGCAAATTAATTTCCTGGTTTGCTGTTCCACAATCACCACAGCCCCCAAAGCTGATTTGATTCCAGGTTTTCAGGGGGAGGAAGAGTTAAAAATAAGAATTCAAGAGTGCGTTTATAACGATCTTAACCGTCACTAAGCAGACCCTCTCTCCTGATACACCGCATTATAGGGAGCAAGGGGGGTGGATTAACACTACTAATTGAGATTTAATATTTACTAATGTAGCCACTCATTGGTGATGTGGTTAAAGGGCTTGTGCAAACTTATTATTTAATTAAATTTGAAGGTCATATCTTATTAGAGCAACTGACAGGCATGCAAAATGCTAAAAACATGATTAAAATTAGGAAAGATGAAATAGAGATTAAAAGCTGCAGGTGATATGGGGGAGGCTCGTTTCTCTACTCTTTCAGCCACCCCCAGCATAAAGCACCCCCAGTGGGACCCCAGGCCGCCAGCCAGCCAACTGAACTGGCTAACCTCACCTCTGGTGGGAGAATATTCCAGAGGCCATAGCAGAAAAGGCTCTTCCCCTGGACCCCACCTGCCAGAATTCTTTGGCTGATGGGATCCGAAGTAGGCCTCTTCCGCTGGGAGTGATGGGGTAAGCTAGTCCCTTTGGAGTTAGAGGGATCCTGTAATACCCTGGACCCATGCCATAAAGGGCTTTAAAGGTGATAACCAACACCTTGAATTAGATCCAGAAGCAAATTAGAAACCCTTGCAGGTTGCATAACTGGGCACGTGCCACCTGAGGGGCCTCCAAAAATGTCTGTGCCCTCACATCACCACACTTAAGAGCCGTGGTGGCGCAGTTATTAGACTGCAGGCTACTTCTGCTGATCACTGGCTACCAGCAGTTTGGCAGTTCGAATCTCACCAGGCTCAAGGTTGACCCAGCCTTCCATCCTTGCGAGGTGGATAATATGAGGAGCCGGATTGTTGGGGGCCATACACTGATTCTGTAGACTGCTTGTAAGCATGTAAGTCTAAGTGCTATTGCTATTGCTACAGTACCAGTTGCAGCTTCCAAATATTCTGCAAGTCCAGCCCCGTTGCAGTAATCCAAGAGATGATCAGGGCACGAGTGACTGTGCGCAGGACCTCGCGATCCAGAAGTTGCACAAAGACTCTCCTAGCAACAACTGCCAAAATTAACCAGTGAAAAAGTTTTGTTTTTAAGCTTCTGATTAATCTAGTGAGGGGGCTCGATGAAGTGACCTCAAGGTAACTAGGATGGAGATGTATATATTAAAGCAAGATGCAGCAGACTGAGCAAAAGAAGAGGAAGGTGCAAACTTCTGAGGGAAATGTCCTACCTGCCCGTCATTGTGTTGCCTTAGAAGTCCCGTTTCCAGCAGGCCTGCAGAAAAGAGAAACAGGACGCTATTAAGGGAGATACAACCATCAATGCAGCTTGATAAACCTGGTTCGGGCACAAGCGATGTTAAGATCCACGTGCAGTCCTTCCCTACTACTCAAGATCTCCGTCTGTCCAATTGCACTGGCAGCTGATTTTAGAAAAGGCCTCATTCATGGTTTAAAATAGTGTTTTTCAACTCTGCCGGCTTGAAGACGGGTGGACTTCAACTCCCAGAATTCCCCAGCCAGAATTCTGGGAGTTGGAAGTCCATCCGTCTTCAAGCCGGCAGAATTGAGACACGCAGGTCTGAATGCTCCAAGTTCACACCCACCCCAGCATCAATATGTGCATCACCCTCTCACGAAATGCATCACACTCTCTCTTTGCACACTCCTTAAGGGCTGAATCCGAACCCATGACAAGGACTCTCCTCCCCTGGCCTTCTATCAGCCTTCTCCAAAACCAGCCAACTGCTCAATATCCTCCCCCCCCGTGCCCCCCCCCAGTTGTCCATCTCATTTTTCTACAGAAATTAAGTTGCAGGAAGACACCATATTGTAGACATCACTTCCATGTCCTGCAAAATTCAATGTTGCACATTTTTTGACACTAAAAAAAAAAAAAAAAGCTAACAAGGTAGATCCATAGAGGTAGAATTGGCTTGCGTGGGTCAGAATCTGATGCGCAGATGGATACAATTCACATGCACTGGAATTCACAATTCACAGGCAAGTCTTTGTTAATAGAATAGAATTATAGAATAGAATAGAATAGAATAGAATAGAATAGAATAGAATAGAATAGAATAGAATAGAATAGAATAGAATTTTTATTGGCCAAGTGTGATTGGACACACAAGGAATTTGTCTTGGTGCATACGCTCTCAGGGTACATAAAATAAAAGAATAAAATACCATCTATTCTTTTATTTATTCCATTTATCTGCTGCCCATTTCAATGTTAAATGTTAATTACGGTAGCAACAACTTTCCAGTGTTTCAAGCAGAGGTCTTATTTTATTTATTAAATTTGTTTAACGTCCATCTTGCCCCGAAGTGACTTTGGACGGCTTCAACGTTAAAAAAGAATAAAATACAATGTGTATATCATGTTATCCTCAATATGTGAAATCAGGTATTTTGTAAAATTGTCTAGGAAATTCTATAGAATGCCAAAAGTGGCATGTCAAAGTAGGAAATGTTTAATATCTCACTCTTGGCATTCTATGCAATACCAAAAGGCAAATGGGGAAAATATAAAATACTCCCAGTAAAATGCCATTCTAACCTTCCTTGTTGCAACAAGTATACTGGTCAATACTGGTTTTTTCTCTTCTTTATTTTCAGAAAGAAACTCCTGTACTTTTTATTTTTCATTACTTCTTTTATTTGCATATACAGTATGTCTTTTTAATAAAGCCCAGCCCTAAACCTTTTCATGACAATCTTTTCATCCTTTGCCTAAATAGCTGTTCTCATTCTGCGTAATGTCTAGGTATTATTATACAGGTAGTCCTCGACTTACTTAGTCCTCAACTTACTAAGTTCACTTAGTGACCGTTCAAAGTTACAGCAGCATTGGGGGGAAAAAGTGACTTATGACCATTTTTCACTCTTGTGACCGTTCCAGCATTCCCAGGGTCCTGTGATCAAAATTCAGACATTTTTTTTTTAATTATTTATATGCCGCCCTTCTCCGGAGACTCAGGGCGGCTTACAATGCGCTAAGCAATAGCCTTCATCCTTTTGTATATTTATACAAAGTCAGCTTATTGCCCCCACAAACTGGGTCCTCAATTTACCTACCTTAGAAAGGATGGAAGGCTGAGTCAACCTTGAGCTTGGGGAGATTCGAACCTGCAGTAATTGCAGGCAGCTGTGTTAATAACAGGGTGCATTAAACCACTGTACTACCAAGACACTTGACAACTAACTCATATTTATGATGCTCGCATTTCCCCTTCTGACAAGCAAAGTTAATGGGGGAAGCTGGATTCACTTAACAACCATGTTACTAATTCTACAGCGATTCGCTTAACAACGGTGGCAAGAAAAGTCGTAAAATGGGGCCAAACTTAACAAATTTCTCACTTGGCGACATAAATTTGGGGCTCAATTGAGGACTAGCTGTGCACAATGCCTAGGGAAAGCATATAGCGTATTAAAATAATACAGATATTTCAATATTTTTGTCTGAAAACATCACAAGTCCTACACATTTCTTAGGCATTCTAATACAATGCCAGGAACATATACAATAAGAGTGAAAATACAATTAAATTCCAAATTATCCTCTATAACTAAGTGTCCGCCAGCTGTGCCAAGCTAAGAGCCCAAGCAAAACACTAAAAAAAGGTCTTCATGGCTACTAGTTGTCATTGCTAACTGCCCTAACTAGTAGCCATGTGTAGTGTTTTGCCTGGGCTCTTACCTGGCGATGAATGCTTAAGCTATAGCTAATAGCTCTATTATTTGTCATTAATATTAAATGTCATAAAGGCGCGATGGTTCAATGGAGCCTCCCAGTCCAGAGGCAGTCTATCTTTGAGGCTAGGCAGGGATCAGCAGAGCTGGGGATCTCGTCTGATCGAGGCAAGGGAAGGGATCCCCACCCGGATCCTCACCCACCCACGATCCCCCCCCTCCCCACTCATCCAGGCCCGAGGAGAGCCCCGCATCCCGGCCTCCCTTCCCAGACTGCAGAGCAGCGAGAGTCCTCCTCCATTCCTAGAGCGGATCTCGCGGCTCCAGACCAAGGCCCCGGGTGAAGCCGGCATCCAGCCCGCATCCCAGCCATCCTACCCTGTGTCCACCGCCAGACCCGCCCGGTCCCACCGGCCGGCCCTTCCGCCCTCTCCCTCCACCCTCCTTCCGCGCCTTTTCCCCGCCAACAACGCCGAACGGCCGCCGAAGCGGCGCTCACCTCCGCAAGCAGCGGCCCAAAATGGCGGCGGCGAGAAAGAAAAGGAGGGCAAGGCCGCGAGGAACGCTGGGATAGGCACTCGAGAAAGGCCCCCTCCTCCTCCTCCTTTGCCGGTCCTTAATATGAGGCGGCTGTCGCATTTGCCTGACAGGAATCGCTCGGCCCGGGAGCGCCTCGTTTTTGTTATTCCGGCGTTTTGTTTTTAAACCACTTTTTTCCCCCTGCTCTCTCACGCCCAGGGATGTATTTGCCCTCCTCGGAGGCCTTAAAAAGGCCGTGGTAAAAAAAGTCAGGCATTTGTTTAGCCGCCCTTTTCTCAGTGAAGGCCCCTCCGGAGGCTTTCTGGTAACCATGGCGACCTCCTCTTTCCTACGGAGGGAGTCCCGGTGAGCTCCCCGAAATTGCGCGCTGTTTCGGGGTCCCCCGATGCTCCTCGTTAGGTCGGGACAGGTCTTTCGCCCAAGCTACGTGGCAGCCGCCCGCTTGGCCTTCTCTGAGCGAGAAAGGGTCCGGCTGGGTTGGTGCTCGGATGGGAGACCACCAGGAGATCCCAGGCTAGCAGGGAGAAAAAAATCATTTGTTTTATAAGCCGCTTCCGTTAGGGCTCTCCTCAGCAGCATACAAAAATCAAGAGCCATGGCTGGTACATTTTGAATCAAGGATCAGCATTTCGGCTGATCTCAAAAAGCCAGCCCAGGATTCGACCCGGCTTGTCTTTGGATGGGAGACCACCAGGAGATCCCAGGGCCATAGGAGGCCCTGGAAACATTGTTTTTTTCAAAAGGTCTTCCTGCTTTACCTGGGAAAAGATGGCACTTGGTGCCACAAGAAGCCAGCATTTGCTGTGGGACACCCCCACCCGCTCTCCCTGTGGCCCAGCCTCCTTCATTGTAAAATTTTGTCATGATTTTGATGTCTTCTTATTGGTTTCTTTTTCATTGTTTGTTCTGTTGTGCTATTCTTTTACATCTCTTTTGTTTACGCTGTTTTCATTTCTTCCTTTTCATTGTGGTAAGCCATCTGGAGGAACCCCAAGATAGATAACAAATTTATGTTATGTTATGTTATGTTATGTTATGTTATGTTATGTTATGTTATGTTATGTTATGTTATATATATATATATTCCATTCCATTCCATTCCATTCCACTCCACTCCACTCCACTCCACTCCACTCCACTCCACTCCACTCCACTCCACTCCTATTCTATTCTAATTCTATTCTAAATTCTATTCCACTCCACTCCACTACACTTCTATTCTATTCTAATTCTATTCCACTCCACTCCACTCCACTCCACTCCACTTCTATTCTATTCTATTCTATTCTATTCTACCCTATCCTATTCTATCCTATCCTAATTCTAATCCATTCCACTCCACTCCTATTCTATTCTAATTCTATTCCACTCCACTCCACTCCAGTCCAATTCTATTCTATTCTATTCTATTCTATTCTATTCTATTCTATTCTATTCTATTCTATTCTATTCTAATTCTAATCCATTCCACTCCACTCCACTCCACTCCACTCCTATTCTAATTCTACCTCCACTCCACTCCACTCCACTCCAGTCCAATTCTATTCTATTCTAATTCTAATCCATTCCACTCCACTCCTATTCTATTCTAATTCTACCTCCACTCCACTCCACTTCTATTCTATTCTAAATTCTATTCCACTCCACTCCACTCCACTCCTATTCTATTCTAATTCTATTCTAAATTCTATTCCACTCCACTCCACTCCACTTCTATTCTATTCTAATTCTATTCCACTCCACTCCACTCCACTTCTATTCTATTCTATTCTATTCTATTCTATTCTATTCTATTCTACCCTATCCTATTCTATCCTATCCTAATTCTAATCCATTCCACTCCACTCCTATTCTATTCTATTCCACTCCACTCCACTCCACTCCACTCCAATTCTATTCTATTCTATTCTATTCTATTCTATTCTGTTCTGTTCTATTCTATTCTATTCTAATTCTAATCCATTCCACTCCACTCCACTCCACTCCTATTCTATTCTAATTCTATTCTAAATTCTATTCCACTCCACTCCACTCCACTCCACTTCTATTCTATTCTAATTCTATTCCATTCCATTCCATTCCATTCCATTCCATTCCACTCCACTCCACTCCACTCCACTCCACTCCACTTCTATTCTATTCTATTCTATTCTATTCTATTCTATTCTATTCTATTCTATTCTATTCTATTCTATTCTATTGTTCCAGGAGCTTTTAAACCATAGAAAACCTGAATGAGGGGGATTGTTGTTGTTTTCTTTTTCTTTAGATCAATAGTATCCAGAAGTTCAGTTTTGCAATTAAAGTGTTAATAAGTATGATCTGCACTGATGCTTGAAACACTCGTAATTTCTGATCATTGGGAGGGGCTCCTTCCTATAGGGCAAAGGGACAGCCGAGCTTGGAATATCTGGTAGGCAGGAAGAGGGCAAAGCTTGGGTGTGAACCCTAGCAGTTCACACTCAACTACATCTAACAGTTATGCAGAGACGTGCTTTAGCCTGGCAAGATTCTGTCTATAGGCAGGACGACATTGAAGAACTATTCGGGAGCAACTCCGCGGGTTATTCCTGGGTTTTTTGGGCCAGTCAGCTCTCTTATCTTAAGACAGGTCTGTTCTTTCTTTGGGCCAGGGAATCATGGGGCTGGATCAAAAGCACGACCCCCAAGCTCCCACCTCTGGATGCCATTCGGCTTTCCGCTGTCCTGGAAGACTGCACTGACCAGCTGGCCATCCTGGGCTACATCATGCCTGTTTCCTACGAGGGAAGGAAAGACGTGGAGGATGTAAGTGCAGGGCCAGGTTGTGCGAGAGTGACTGATGGATGTTTGCAAGGAAACAGGAAGTCATCCTGGATGGAGGAACTGACCTGGAAGGTCTACTCTAATAGTAGACATCTGGCTGGGGAAAGGGGCCACAATTATCTACATCAACCTTGTGGTCCAGGCGGTTTTTCCAGCAAGCCAGGGAAGTGGAGCTGGGGAGGTGGATCGGAAGACCCTGTGATCCACAGGATTTCCTTCTCACTGATCCATCCAACCATCTGCTAGGCTTCCACATTTCCTGCTGTGGTTGGAACAGGAGGGCTAATTCTATCTGTTCACCTGGTTGCAAATACAGGTAGACCTCCACTTACAGCCATTTATTTAGTGACTTATTGAGTGACTAACTTTTTTTTCCAGGATTCTGGTCTTTCCTATCAGGTCAAGTCCAGAAGATGGAGCTGGAGGACAATTTTTCAACATCTGGAGTCCTCAACTTACAACCACAAAATTTCTCCAGTGTTTCTATCCAATGCCAATGTTTCTCAACTTTTTTTGAACAGTTTATTTATACATTTTCTCTTTACATACATAAGTGCTTTATGAACAGCGTATTGTCTGGATCATTTTGCTTACATAATAATACTTTTCCAGTTCCTAATTTCTACCTCTGTTATCCAACCATTGGTATGAAAATATTCCGTATTTTCTTTTTCTTTTATCTTTTAACGTCAAATCTATCCAGTGGTGGGTTTCAAAATTTTTTACTATTGGTTCTGTGCGTGTGGCTTGGTGGGTGTGGCATGACTTGGTGGGCGTGGCAGGGGAAGGCTACTATAAAATCTCCATTCCCTGCCCCCAATCCAGGGGAAGGTTACTGCAAAATCCCCATTTCCTCCCAATCATCTGGAACTTGGGAGGCAGAGAATAGATGGGGACGGGACCAGTCAGAATTTTTACTACCGGTTCTCCGAACTACTCAAAATTTCTGTTACCGGTTCTCCAGAACTGATCAGAACCTGCTGAAACCAACCTCTGACTCTATCCATTTCTGCACAATCTAGTATTTTTTTAACTACAACTTCTCTTGGTGTTTCTTCATTTTTCCAGTGCTGTGCATATACATTCTAGCTGCTGTCAAAACATGCAATATTAAATATATATTCCCTTTATCATACTTACCTAGTACTATACCTAACAAAAATATTTCTAGCTTAAAATCTATATTCTACTTTAACATTTTTTTCTAACCATGTATGTATTTTTGTCCTTTTTTTTTTGCTTTTGCCCAAGCAAAGACATGCAACTCAACTGCTTAGGCTATGTTCTGTCCCCGTACCACACACGCACCCCCACAGATGGCCCGGAGTTAATAAGCCACACGACAAAACTCTTTGAAGATAAAGCTGGCAGCAACCCAGTGGCTAGCTGCCAATTCAGACTTTACTCACACAAAACAAAGATTAGACTGCAAGCATTCCGATAAAACAGGCAGAGTTTCAGCAATACAAGGATTAGTCCAAATGCAGTCCGACAAGGCAGGCAGAAGTCCAGTAACGCAGAGATCATGGATTATTTCCAGTTTTTGCTTGTCACAAACTGAACCGGCCACCACACCCACATTTATACCCTGTGGGGTGTGGTCCAGTGACTCAGCTAATCTCTGACATGCCTTCCCCTCTGCTGTGCACGCTTCTCCCTGCGCCTCTGCCAAGGGTCCAGCCATCACTTATCTTCTTCGTTGCTGTCCACATGTGGCTGCGGGGACGTGCTTGGCTCTGAGCCTATTGTTTGGCCTTCGGTGTCCTCCGGAGGCATTGCCAGAGAGGAGGCTCCTGGAGAGGGAGGCCTTGCCAACTCCTCCCCCTCACTCTCAGAGTCTGCATCTGTCGATAGCCCAGGCTCAGGCAACGGAGCCACAACAGGCTAGTGTTATTCAACCTTGGCAATTTTAAGACAGGTCGGCTTCAACTCCCAGAATTCCCCAGCCAGGTGTCCTCGCTAGGGAATTCTGGGAATTGAAGTCCACCCATCTTAAAAGTGGCTCAGATCGAGCAACGCTGCTCCGATCTATTCTGAGGTCTCCTTCACACGTCTTTCTTTGCCTCTCCTTCAGCTTGATGAGCAAGGAATGCAGGAGATCCTTACCAGCCAGCAGGAGCTGAGCACGAAATACAGGAACCTGATGGACAAGAGGGCCGAGAGCCTGGCTAAAATTCCGGCCGAGTTTGGCAAAGTGGCAGAAATTCGGTGGCAGCTGTTGGACACCACCTCTGACCTGAAGCGCTCCAACCATCTCTTCACCATG